CCTTCTTCCTTGAGGTCAAAACCCACAAAAATCACTCAAAAGCCTTAGATCTTGCACCAAAACACTTAGGCTTTGCTATGGAGGGTTTATGGGAGCATAAAGGGGCGATGGAGGCTGTATAGGGTTGTTTAAATAGGGTACAGACCCTCATATTAGGGTTTTGTCCAGTCAGAGCCTACTCGTCGAGTCCGGGACCCGACTCGACGAGTCCATCACTTAAATCCCGCGCCTCATCCCGCTTCTACTCGGCGAGTTGGTCCTTCAACTCGCCGAGTCCAAGGCCAAAAATGCAAAATACTTAAATAAAAATACATACCAAGAACCAGGTGCTACACCATTGCACCTTCACTAAGTCGACCTTCTTGTTCCTCAGATCCTTCGTCTTCCTGTCGAGGATGACTACCGGTCGCTCGATGTAGCTCAGGCTGTCATCCACCTGAATATCCTCTAGGGGCACCACTGTAGAGTCATCTACCAAACACTTCCGTAGTTGGGAGACATGAAAGGTACTGTGGATCTGACTAAGCTCGGCTGGCAGATCCAGCCTATACGCCGCCTTGCCCACCCGGGGTATAACCTTGAAAGGACCAATGTACCTGGGGCCCAACTTGCCCCGCTTCCTGAACCGGATGACACCCTTCCAAGGTGACACCTTCAGGAGAACCATGTCCTCGACCTGAAACTCCAGGTCCGATCGGCATAGCTTTTCTGCCGACTCTGAGCAGTCTGAAGCCTGCTCCTGACCTGCTGGATCCTCTCTGTCGTCTTGAGTACCACTTCAGTACTCCCCATGACCCTCTTTCCAACCTTACCCAAGCATATCGGGGTTCTGCACTTTCTCCCATATAACATTTCGAAGGGAGGGCGGTCGATGCTCGCATGATAGCTATTATTATAGGAGAACTCTGCCAAGGGAAGATAGGTATCCCAGCTACCACCGAAGTCTAAAACGCACGTCACAGCATGTCCTCAAAGGTTTGGATGGTCCGCTCACTCTGACCATCCGTCTGAGGGTGAAAAGTTGTGCTAAAATGTAGACGAGTACCTAACTCGTCATGAAATTTCTTCTAGAATCTGGAAGTAAATCGCACGTCTCGGTCAGAAATCACAGAAACTGGCACTCCGTGACGAGCTACTACATCTCTGATGTAGATGTCAGCCAACTTCTCAGCCTAGATGCTCTCCTGGATCGGTATGAATTGGGCACTCCTGGTTAATCGATCCACAATGACCCAAATCGAATCCACTTCCCGTGCGGTCCTGGGAAGCTTCGTGAGGAAATCCATAGTAATATCTTCCCATTTCCACATAGGGATATCCAACGACTGTGTCTTGCCGTGAGGCCTCTGGTGCTCGACCTTGACCTTCCTGCAGGTTAAGCACCTCTCAACGTACCAGGCTACATCTCGCTTCATGCAGGGCCACCAGTAATCAAGACGAAGATCTCTGTACATCTTCGTCGCCCCGGGATGGATAGAAAACCTGGATTTGTGCGCCTCCTCCATCAAAACCTGGCGCACACCTCCATGATACGGAACCCACACTCTCCGATGGAGTGTCAACAACCCGCGACTATCATAGTCGAAGGAGGAAACCTGACCCACAATACGCTCGCCCTTCCGATGTTCCTCCTTCATAGCCTCCTGCTGGGCCTCTCGGATCTGCTCCAAAAGCGGAGTCACTACCGTCATCCTCAAGCAAATATCTCTGATCGGGGTTGCTATGCGGCTAAGCGCATCGGCCACAACATTGGCCTTCCCCGGGTGATAAAGGATCTCACAGTCGTAATCCTTCACCACATCTAGCCACCGGCGCTGCCTCATGTTCAGATTTGGCTTATCCATGAGGTACCTCAAACTCTTGTGATCTGTGTAAATGGTACAGCGGACCCCATAGAGGTAGTTTTGCCAAATCTTGAAGGTGAAGACAACCGCCCCCAACTCCAGATCGTGCGTCGGGTAGTTCGCCTCGTGAGGCTTCAGCTGCCTCGAGGCGTAGGCGATGACGTGCCCCCTCTGCATCAGGACTGCGCCCAAGCCTGAAATGGACGAATCGCAGTACACTACAAAATCCTCCACGCCCTCTGGCAGGATAATATTACCTTATTTTGAACATGTGCTACACGTTTAATGGTCAAATGTGTACGGAAAAAACATGATTACCTAAATACAGAAAAAAAAAAAAAAAATTTATTACCTTTATAAGTTATTAACCTAATAACAAAACCCCAAAAGTAACGAATTGACCTAACCCAAACAAATAACCCAACTTTTTTATATATGTTGATTTCATTATCTCAAGTAAATTGGACATCTTTAAATTTGAACAGTAGGTTCGTCAAAAATCACAATTTTATTTGATCATTTTATAAAAATATAAATAGAAAATTGACTAATTTAAGTTCAATGAACTTCACAGGGGAAACATTTTCCCGCTTTATTCTATAGACCCCCTTTCTCTCGGTGGAAATGGAAGAAGAGAGTTCAGTGAAACTGATTTCGGTATCCGACCTACTCCATCGTCTCCGCCCTATCACCGGCGCGTCGTCACTCTCGCCCAGCCATTCAATTCGTCGTCCTACTCTGTACAAAGACAAACCTCAGCCATCTGATCCACAAAACCCTAATATCCATAAAATCCTTAAACCTCTTAACTACCCAACAGTACTCGTCGGAACCCTAAACCTAACCTTACCTTCTTCATCTTGTTCTAATTCAAGTTGCCTCAAATTCTCCGACCATTCTGCCGCTGTTTGTTGCGACATTCTCGACCTTGATCTTCGGGTTATTGGCCAAAGAATCAGAGTCACTGCCTGGAATTTCCTTCCTATGAAGCCTCACGGCGGATATCTAGAAATTATCAGGTGGAGCCTCGATCAGTCTGAAGAAAATTCCATATCCAAATTTAACGCATTCCATCTGAACTCTGTAGTTCCTGCGTATGAAGAAAGTATAGTTCCTCGTCACTTAATCTACGGTTTACTGGAATCCGTTAGCCCTGTCTCAAATGTTCCCTGTACAGCCCATAAAACCGGTACCAGAAACGTTAACGGTTTTCTAGCTGAGATTACCATCTGTGAGTGCGCATTGTGTTGTTCCAGAGACAAGGTAATGTTATTGCATGATATAAATAGAGAACATAGTAACTCTCATAAGTTCTCTAAATCAAGGATTCTTTATTTTTGTGAATCTTCCTCGATCTGGTATCCTGTTATTTCAAGGTTGGTCGGAAGTATTATGCTTATCTCCGGCATGAAGAAGAAGATGGTTTTCCTTGGAGAAGGGAAGTCTTTGATGATGTATGTGACCACAGAGAAAGCCATCCTCCATCTTCCAGTCTCTAAGAGTAAAAGGGCCATGAATGGAAGAAATATTGCAACCAGAGAGAAAGGGCTATGCAGTGCCCATACAGGAAGTATTACTGGGGTCTACATGCAGGGAATGGTTATAGAATTGGATCAAAAAGTGTTGTTGTTGCTCACAGATCATCAACTCTTGATGCCACATAGTTTAAGAGTTGGTGCAACTGTATGTACATTAACTTCTTATTATGAATACAGAGGTCCCAATTGCTTTTTCTTCAATTCATCCCTTTTCTAATATATAGAGCTTTCCTGCTGATAGGTAACAGTGAGGAATTTTCATCTGGAGAATCCCAAATTTTCTTGGACAAAAGTAAAAGTATTTGGATCATGCTATAAGACTAGCATCCATGTCAATATATTTTCTCCAATTGAAAGCGGGTTAGTGCTACTGCTATATATTTTTTGTGGCAACTATTTAGAAATCTTGTATTTAACAAATTATTCATTCTTTTTGCTTACAGATGCTACCAATCTTTACAATCTCGCAGCCTTCTCAGGAAGTTCATTGAATCACTTTCATTTTCTGCTAGATTATGGTACGAACAATTTCTCATTTACTATTACTTTTTTGTTTTACTGTTATTTTCCTTCATGGTATTTTGTATTTTCCCATTTCCTCACAAGATTCTACCTCAGGGTGTTGCTTGTTGTCTCATCTTTGAAGAAAAAGTTCTCTGGGATTTTATCTGAGATGGAGATCTTAGGATCTAAACATGTAATTAAGTATTTCATCTGTTACGAGTTATTTTCTTGGATAAATACTCTGTTATGATTTCACATAAAATGAACTAGTTAATGTATTTTGCAGATGGAAGGATTAGTTCAGAAATATTCCAGTTCATGTTTACCTTTATCAGTATTCCGATTTCGGGTAAAGTCATTTTTTCTGATTAGCACATTATACCTTGAAAATTATACACAATTATGAAAATGAAAATTACATTTTTGCTATAATTTGTTAGATTTCTCTAAAAACATGTTTGGTTTCACAGCATGGAGTTCTCACAGAATATTGTCAGCATGAGTTATATGGATGTGGCAAAGAAATCGATTACACCCCTCCAAAATTGGTATATTTTAGCAATTAGGGTTTTGTGATTTTCTTTCTTTATTGTTTTAGTATTTCTTTTTAGTAATTTGTATTAATGAAATGATTTCAATTCTTTTAGGTTGTGCCAATTTCCAATCTCATAAGTCATTGTGAGGACATATTCATAAAAAAATTATATCAAAGTGGGAAAGATTCTGATATGAATAATCAATTCAGCAATCTAGTTTGTGGAGGGAAATCTCATGATCAACCAATTAGAACAATCTTGAAAAGTGAAGATGTGAACATTGTTTTGCTTGGAACTTTAAAGGTCATTAAGAAGCCTATTCAGTTTTCTCTAACAAATTTATGAATTTCCTTTTTTATTTTTTTATCCCATTTTTCAACATAGTTGTGTAAATGTGATGTAGATTTCTGAATATTCTAGAAGGTTGCAGTTAGTTGATGCAACAGGCAGTATTGACATAGTCATACCTGATCTTTCATCTGATTGGAGCATTAAAGACATATATGAGGTAACTAATTTTTTTTATAAATTGTAATGATCTTTATTTATATTCATATCTCCATTTATTTTATTTGTTTCTTGTTTATTTCACCAGATAAATGACTTCAGTGTTGTAATTGAAGGATTCCCAAGACAACTACAACATTTACAATCACTCAACAACGATCCATTTTCATGCAAAAACATCTTCAACCATTTTCAATTAACAAGGAGAAAACAATTTACAATTTATATTTATTGCTATATAAGAGACACAAAATCAAGAAATCATATTTTATATCCTAGAATGGATAAGGAGGAGAAATATAAAGAGATAGAAAGTGGAAACTTTCACTTACTTTATTTAATGCACAAATTTCCTCTACAACAAAAGGTATGTGAATATGTGAATAATGTTATTAATTTATAAAACTGCTTCTTGTAATGTTATTAATTTATAAAAAAAAAAGTTCAATTTTTGTTCTCAGTTTGCAGGTGATGATGTTGCTACAAATAATTTAAGTGTATATGTTGAGGCCATAGCTTTTCCATGGAATTTGGTTCTTTATAAAAGAGAAAGAGATTCAGAATCTGTTAAGATGTTAAATGGCAGAGTTGTAAATATGCATATGCAGGAAGATTCTTTTTGTAAAAGAGCTGCAAGGAAGTTGCTTTTGGAGTTCAAATCTGATAGTTTCTCAAAGTATGAGGTTAGCCATTTTCATATTTATCAACTTATCTATTTAGATTTGGATTAAATGCAAGAAATAGCAATTAACAAATTATAGCAATTTGTCTTCCAAATACAAAGGATTTTATACAGAAAAGTCTCATTATTTTGGGATTTTTTTTGATAAAGGCCTAATTTTTTTTTAACAGAAAAGTCTTGATTATTTAATATTTTGCCAAAATTAACAAAAAAGTCCTTTTTTTTTTATTTTGGGTTAACTTTAAAAAAGACCTTATATTTTGAGTTTTTTCCGGATTAAACCCCAAATTTATTTTTTACCTGAAAAAGACCTTGTATTTTTTTTATTTTTTCCGATCCGGACCTTTTAGTCATTTTTTTCCAAAAAAATTATAAAATCTAAGGTTTTTCCGAGAAAAACTAAAAAAGTTGAGGGTTTATTTGGAAGCATTTACAAGGTTGAGGGTTTTTTTCGGGCTTTTTTGGAAAAATGAAAAAATACAAGGTCTTTTTCAGGCAAAAAATAAATTTGAGGTTTAATTTGGAAAAAAACACAAAATATAAGGTTTTTTTTTTTGAGATTAACCCTTTTATTCCAACAGAAAATGTCAAATTATCGTGTAAAATTAAATAATCGGGACTTTTCTATTCAATTTTTTTTAGGACTTTATCAAAAATTTTCCTAAAATAATGGGACTTTTAAAACTTTTAAAGTATGATGTCCTAATAAGGAAAACAAATTGAGAGTATAGTGTTGGAATAGAAAGAAATGAAAGTAGGATGCTCTATAATATAAGAGAAATTAAAAAAAAAAAAAAAAAAAAAAACTTACATGATGACATTTTATGACAGTTATTGAGAATTGGTGGGTATTATTTGGTAAAGCATGATGAGAAAGATCTTATATGCAACTCCTCAAAGGAGTGTGGCTTTGTGAACACTAAATCACATTTTTGGAGTGTTTCTTTTTGTAATGATGATGAGGCTTCATTTCATAAGTTAAATGAGATTGAGAGATGTCCAGATGTTTATGTGAATGTGTCAGTTGACTTTGAGGTCAAACTCAGAGAACTCAAACAAGATCTTATTCTCCCAACTAAACCAATCGAACAAGCATTTAACATTTGTTGGAGTCCTTCCACAACAATGAATTTGGCCAAAGGGGATTTATTATCTTTCCAAGGACTTGTGTTAGGTGTTCATACTCATACTTCAACTCATCAACTTTTTCATCATCGTATATTTCATGGAGTCTCAAGTAGTAGTATTTGTATTCATGTATTAATCGACAATAACATGGTAAAGCTAACTTTCTTTGATCCTTATTTGTTATTGTTTTTTTTTTTTTTTTTGGTTGCCTATGATTATGATTATTTTTCTCTTTGTATTATTTAGGTGAAGATATATAGCAACTTAAGTCAACATAGTTATCCAATTGGATTTGGGCCAGGTGTCAATGCTAAGTTTTACCGTGTTCTTTTAACATCGTATGTGTCCTCAAATCTCAATCTAGAATCTACCTACGTGGTTTTTTTATATGCTTTATTTTTTAATTATTCATCTACCCATACCCATATAAATAGCAATATCATCAAAATACAAAACAATTCTTTTTAATGCTAATCTCATAAAAGACCTTTTTTATATATATATATTTATTCCCGGATTAAACGCTATCTTTATATTTTATTTCATGAAAGAGATCTTGTAGTTTTTTCATTTTTTTGGAAAAAACCCTCGACTTTGTCTTTCTTTTTTTTTTTTTTTTTCAAAAAAAAACCCTCAACGTTCTAAATGTTTCCAAATAAATCCTCAACTTTTTTAGTTTTTCGTAAAAAACCCTCACATTTTACAACTTTTTTTAGAGAAAAATGGCCAAAAGGGCCAAGATCGGAAAAAATGAAAAAAATAAAGTTGAGGTTTAATCAGGAATTTGGTGAAGGGAATGTGCTTACTTTATCATCATAATGAATTTGGTGTATTGATTCATAGTTCCTAATCAGTTATTTCAAACTCTATAATGTTTAGTGAAGGGAATGTGCTTAAGTTGACACCTGCATCTTTCATTGAAATCAACTCCATCACCACTGAAGATGACCTAAATAGCAATGACTCAAATGACACATCACCACATATGGAGACCACTTCCTCATTAGCAAATTCACCTCCTGCAACTTTAATTTCTGAAATGATTCACTTCTCACACCATAAACAAATCCGAATCAATTGCAAAGTTGTAGCAATTCATGTATTGGTATTGGAAAAGAATAATGAGCTCCTACACTCAAATGCGAAGAAATTCCCACTTGCTGGTTTATTAATCGGTATGCTTCTTCTTGAAGATCATTATTTAACCAATAATGTGAAAATATTTTATCATGTTCATTTTTTTTAATAGATGATGGATCATCCACATGTTGTTGCTGGAGTGATAATGAAAGCGTGATTACTTCTCTTTTGGGATTAACATTGAAACGTTCAAGAACAAGTTTAATGAAGATTTTAGATGAGCATGATTCGGTTTTAGTGAAGAATTACGGATGCTTCTCTGATTATTCTTGTGTGGATGTTAAAGTTTCGGGCAGTCTTAAGGAGTCGGATGAGCAGTTTCTCAAGTCCATTCTACTCCAAGCTTGCTCCACCAACACTTGGGTGAGTATTAAGTAGTCAATATGATGCACTCTACATGTTCGATGAAATGTCTGTGTTTTAACTTGTAGTTATTGTTATGTAGAATGTTGTGGGGAGTATGTTGGATTTGAAAGGCGTGAATGAGTTGGAGGAAAGGTTAAGGAGATTGGATTTGGTGATGCTTCCGATGCAACATATATGGGTTTCTCATGTTTCTCATTTGGATGCTTTGAATGAAGGAAGAAGCATTCTTCAACAACTCCTAAAATCTTGAATTTTTGAACTTTGGTTGCTTGTAACTTCTGTCAGGATATAACATGTTGTACTGTGTTTGACGTGCATTGGACTGACAATGATAGTGCATACGGGAGAGGCCTTTACCAATATAGCATTTTCTTTTTTGTTAGAGTTGTGAAGGAAAAAAATCGACGATTCTTCATAGGCTAAGATCACTATACGTATATTAAATTCAAGTTAAAATAAATGATTTTTGACTTTGATAATTAGATTTTCTTTTATGTAAACATCTTTGTAAATGTTTCCATCCAGTGACGATTCTTTCGAGATATGTTGATTTTTTGTTTAATTTTGCTTATAAGACATCACGTTTATGTATATGCATCATGAATTGTTTGTTTTTGCAATGTTGTTCCTTGCACATCAACAAGAGTCTATGAAAATTAAATTAATCTGTTGAATATGTTGATTCCATTACTAGGTAGCTACCATGTTTAGTTTGTTCATACTTCATTCATACCGTACTTCCTTCATGCATACATCATTCTTCCATAGAAGGAAAAAAAGGCTTTAAATCTATCTATCAAGCAATGTGATTAATATACCATAATAACACCATTCTTAATGATTTTATCTTTCAGATGGGCGATTCATTTTAAGAAGATGAGAAACACCTGCAACAACATGAAGCCGGCTGTTGGGCACACCCGTTTTGGCAAGAGCTCTGCCATGTTTATCCAACAATACAAAACAGGGAACATACTTTATGTCATAGTTGAGAAGCTGCATTAAACCAAATGAGACATTTCATCGAACAGGTAGAGTGCATTTCTATGGGTTGTGGTATTCATGAATAGAACAGAAGAAGGAAAGGGAATCAGAGAGTAGTACCTCAGGCAACCATTTATCATTCTCAGCATCCGCCATAACAATGTTAAGCCAATCAGCGTTCTTATTCTCCACATGCCCGACAAAATCAACCATTGAATTGCAAAGATTACATTTGGGAGAATAGAATTCGATCACTGTAGCGTCTTTTCCATTGGCCAAAGCACATGCCAATGCTCTCTGTTCTAACTCCCCTTGTTCCTCTCCACTCAAACCCTTCGTCTTCGTCGCCAATTTCGAGAACTGGAGTTGGTTTCTGGTTTGGGGTTTTGAGATCGATTCGACGAGTGTTGAAGCGAGGGAGCCGACGGTTTGGATCGATTTGAAAATCCATGGAGGTCCCGAAGAGCATGAGCTGAGGGGTTTGTTTGGATTAGCGTTTGAGTTTACATCCCATGGCCATTTTAAGCAAAATAGAGGTTGTTTCCGAGGAATATCACCACCCATTGACTTCGTATGACAAACTTTTGATTTCTTTTTCTAAAACCCTACAACTAACACTAAAAAGTTACTCCGATTCCGGTGGCGAATACTGAAGGAGGATGAGCAGAAGAAGCAGGGAGAAAAGCCACACTGAACAACTGACCCACAGGTCTCGATCTATGGTTGCTTGGAACACCCCGTTCCTGAGAAATGAAAGACAAGAGAAATGAAAGGAAACGAAAATGAGAATAAAATAAAAAAAATTAGTGTTCCAAGTTTCATTAAATCAGGGAGGAGGGAAATGGGATGATTACTTTCCCTACTAAGTTTCCTTTAGATTTGGGAAGATTTGGAAAGAGAGAACAAAATGATTCATTTTCCTTCCACTTCTCTAAAACTCGGGAACACAAAAGAAAATTCTGTTTTCCTTTCCTTTCTTTTCTCTCATGACTTTCTTTTGTTAAACTCGAGAACGAGACGTAAAAGACGTACGATTACACTTTATTGCTGACCTGCCACGTTATTGCACCTAGATGGGGAGTTTAATGCATTTTGCTAACCATTCCATATTGGTTAATATTGATTTTGGTTAACGGTTTTTATCGGTTAACAATTATAGTTAATGGTTCATATTAGTTAGTTATAATAGTCGAAAATGAGATAAAAATAAAAATACTTTGCTATAAAAACTGAAAAACACAAAGTACATTGTTATGAAGAAGTGAATGATTAAATGTTTATAATCTTATCATTATGATAGAAGATTATTTATCTCATTTGATTCCAAATAATTACCTTTTAAATTTTCAATTCCATATATAATTACATATCATAGATTTAATATTATATTATATTAAAGACATTTATTAATATTATTGGTTCGATTCGTTTTTTAGTGGTTCGTTTTGGATGAAAATCATAACCGAACCATATGTATTTGGTTAATCAAAAATAGAAACCGCACCACCTTTTTTAGTAATGATTCGGTTATTTTGGTTAATTTGGTTTTGGTTGGGATTACAACGAGATATCAGGACTTTTATGCAGTTCATTGAGTCTCCACTTTCTTGTACTAGCTGACTAAAGGCGAGCTACTTTTGAACTCTATTGTCCACTTCGATAGCTTTCAAGATGTTTTTTTTGGTTAATATGCTCACCCCTAATTACACTATTATTTTTTTTGTTTGTGGGTGCACATTTTATCACAATTTTTTAATAGAATTAAATGTAATTTGATAAAATCTAATTATATAAAATTAATAAAAAAATACTTCAGTAATTTAAATTAAAACAATTACATAGCTAAAAAACGACCATTAAATAAAAACCCTACATAAAAATTCTATATCTTTAACATCAGGTATAACTGTTTTTATGAATTCGGTATTTAAGACTTAGAAGTATATGATTTTTGATGGAAACTACGTGGTGTTGAAAGTACCAAGACGTAGCGGCACCCGATGAAAGCACACATTCATTTAAGGTGCCACGACGTGATAGGGTGATGACCACGACGTGGGGTCCGTCAGCATGCAAATCCCTAATTTTCCGGGCTTAAAGCCCTATTTAAGGGTTGTGATGGCTAGGGTCTGCACACCCTCAACCTCCATCACCTGGACCTAGAGCAACCCTAGCCTCGGTTGTTGACATTTATGAGTTTTTGGTGGTGTTTTTGGTGCCTTAAAGAAGAAGAAGGTGTTCTTGGTGCATAAATCCAACAAGTAAATCTCCTCATCATCTCTTACACACATTTTGGACTCTTGTAAGTCCTCAAGAACTGATCTTGTGTGCTATGTTTCTAGATCTAGGCTTTTGGGCACTTTTCTCCATGTTTGGGAGAGTTTGGATAGATGAATTCCATAAAGTTGGCAACTTTATGGATCCTTGAGGTCCCCTTGTAGTTATATGTTCCAGATTTGAAGATTAATAGAGTTTTGATGTCATGCATGAGGTTTTGGCCTCATTTTTCACCAGTTTGACCTAGCTTGAGTGCAAGACATGCATGTCTATAAAGCAACACTTTTTATGATGCTTTAGGTGTAAGAAAGTCTTCTGGAAAGTATGGATGAGTAACTTGAAGGATAGCTTAATGCATTAAGCTGGCCAGAGCATGTTCCACGACGTGGTGGGTTAGCCACCACAACATGGCGATAGGCAGTCTCTGCGACTGTTTTGTCGAGAGGACACCACAACGTGGTATATCCTTGGCCACGACGTGTTGGTCAACTGATGGACTTTTGACTGTTGACTTTTTGACAAAGTTGACTTTTGGTCAACTTGAGAGTTTTGGGGCTATAGATTGAGGTTGGGCCTATGTGTGATATAGGTGGCTCGTTGTACTAGTTTTGGACATGTGAGAGCTGTGTTATCTATCGGCTAGTCTGCAAGGTGAGTTTTCTCATTATACTTTGTACTGCAGTATGTATCCTTGTATGTAGGATGTTGTTATACTGTAGTGATTTGTTAGACTGGTAGATATGCTATGATTACCCGTGTTTGCTTGTTATTGTTTATGTCGACATATTGTGGTTGGGTTGAGGCGGTCTAACTTTATGCCGTAGGCCAAGATACCCGGACGATCCAGGTGTATTGTAGGCCTTACGAGGCGGTCCAATCAGACTGTAGGCCCAAAGAGAATGGTCTAGGTGTATTATAGGCCTTGAGAGGCAGTCCAGTCAGACTGTAGGCTCATGTATGCATGCTTTGTATGTGTATTGTTATGTGGGGTATTTTGGGGAACTCACTAAGCATTGGCTTACAATTATGGATTTAAATGTTTCAGGTACTTCAGGTGATCGGGGGAAGGCAAAGGCGTGACCGTACACTTCATCTTATGGTTTTATGTTGAGAGATGTTATTTGATACTCTGATTTCTATGACTACGTTTTGGAAACAATGTTTGTATGACCTATGTTTTTTTTTAAATGGGTTTAAAAATCAAAATTTTTACTATGGTTTTTGGGACGTTACAAGTTGGCATTAGAGCCCTGGTTTGAGGAATTTTGATGAACACTCGTGGGATTCTGTAAGGGTCAAAATGTTGTAATTAGTCGAAATGTATTTTGCACTCTTCGAATGTTTTGTAATCTATTTTACTAAGGCGCTTTTATTCGAAGCCTAAGTGTCTATGCCTTAGTATATTTTTTGTACGCTTTCTGTTCCCTATAAATAGGGATATTTACTAGAGTTAGATAAGAGTTTTTACAGACCTGTCTTTGTACTCTATACACATTCGAAAGCGTAATAGAGCTGAAACAAGATCATATTTACATCCGGTGTTCAATTTCGCATTCTTAC